TTCGGCCGCTTGGGAGGTGAGTTGGGGGCTTGGCGCTTTGGTTCCGCAGCTAGGGGCTTCCCGAGCTACGCGGCCCGTAAGGGAAGATCGGTCTGGGGCTGGGGTCACTGCGCGATCCGCCGGGTGCTGTGTGTGGGCGGTGCAGAGGGGAAACTGAGGCCGGGCGTCGTCAGATTGGCCTTCACCAGTCCTGGCTTCCCTCGCCCGGACCCCGGGCCTGGGAAATGCTGGTTCGCAGATCCGTGGGTGGAAAGCGGGAAGTAAAAGCGCCCCGCCTGTAGGGGCCGTTCGCTGGGTGTACGCTGCTGTACAGAGAAACGGTCCTTTTAAATCGGGCCCCTGTCTCAGGTCGGGGCTCCTGTCCCAGCGCCGCTGCTCTCCAAGTGGGTGACGTTGGCCAGCCTTTTGACTTCTCAGCCTCAGTTTTCCCCTCTGTAAAACGGGCATTGTCACAGCCCCTGCTTCGAGGGCGAGGGGTTTGGGAGGATTCAAGCCACAGGGCCCAGTGGAAAGTGAGAGCTCAAATTGGCTAGCAGTCCTATTTCACACTTAGGGTCTTCTGCATATTGTGCTAGAAGCGGTCGAAATCTGCACTTGAGGACCCGCTGCACACCTCTCCCTGGCTGTGTAAAGCTTGGACAAGTCGCTTCCCCTCTTTGAGCAGCACATCTCTTATAGGGGCTGTGGAAGTATATGCCTCTAGGCAGCGGTTCTCAACCTGTGGGTCGCGGCCCTTTCACAGGGGTCGCCTAAGACCATCGGAAAACACATACATAATTACATATTGTTTTTGTGATTAATCGCTATGCTTTAATTATGTTCAATTTGTAACAATGAAATTGGGGGTCACCACAACATGAGGAACTGTATTAAAGGGTCACGGCATTAGGAAGGTTGAGAACCACTGCTAGGGTCTATGTGAGAGCATTCCTTAATCAGGCTCCTGGTACGTGCTCACTAGAGAATGACTGGTTTTTGTTATTGTCAGAACATGGGTGTGCAACCTGTGTCCCTGAGTGATGTACCTATTTCTTTTGTTTCTTTCCCTGATTATTTGTTGAGTCTGTTTTTCCTCTCTCTCTAGACCAGTGAACCCCCCGCCCCCCCCCCGGGGGGTTAATGGGGACATTTGTGGTTGTCACAACTGGGGTGCTCCTGGCATCAAGTGGTTGTGGGGCCAGGGATGCTGCTCAACCCCCACAGTGACGGTTCCTCAGAGAATGATTGGCCCATTTTTGTAGGGAGCAGAAGGGGTACTTTGGAGGTAGTCTCAAGTCAGACTACCTGAGCTTAAAACTGATTTGTGTCTTAGCTGGATGACCTTGAGTGGTGCCCTTATCTTTCTAAGCCTCAGTTTTTCCTTCTGTAGAATGGGAATTAGGTGAAACAACTTAGAGTCTCAGCAAACTGATCAGGGAGCCAAATCCAGCTGAGGCCTGTTTTTTAAAATGAATTTTTGTGGAAACACAGCACGCCCAATGGCATACACATTGTCAGTGGCTGTTTTTGCATTATAATAGCAGTGTTGCCACAGAGACCCTGTGGCCTGTGAAGCTGACAGAATTTACTCTGGCCTTTTTCAGAAAATGTTTGCTGATCACTGAAATAAACCATTGCATGTACAGCACTTAGTTCAGTGCCTGGAACGTCCTCAGCATTTGTCACCTGAGGTTTATAAATCAGTCTTGACTGGAAGGGTGAGTGACTCTAAAGGGGATTAAGCTCTGCCCCAGGTCAAGAGCTGTAGTCTTACTTGATCTTACATTTTTTGGCCAAGACCCAACTTGGGCTGAGGTGAGAAATGCTCAGTGATAGTTGAAGGAATAAAGGGGATTGTGGGCAGGTAGGCAAGACCAAAGGTCTTCTACTGATGAGGAAACTGAGACCCAAAGAGAATGACCTCCCCAAGGAACCTGGTTGTCACTGTTGACAGTGACCTCACATTTTCCTGAGTCCATGTGGATCAAATGCCGCCAAGTGCTGGGGTTAAAAGGAAGTTGGCCTGTCCAGTGGCTCAGTCTGCTGGCTGAAGACAGGCCTGGAAAGAGCCTGTAGGAGATGCTGGACCAGAGGTGGGAATAGTATGGGCTTTGCTGGGAAAAGGTGTCTGGCTCTCTCTGAGGAGGTGACCTTGCAGCTTGGTGTCGAAGGGAGAATAAGAGTTTTCCTGATGGATCAGAGGAAAGGTGAGTAGTGGGTTTGAGTGGAGCATGGAGGGTTTGAAGCCCAGGGGGTGACACACCAGTGCTGAGGGGCACACTTGTTACATTTCAGGGAGCTTTTGAGGGTTTATACTAGTAAGTATGCAGGACAGTCTGGTGGCATTTTAGAAGAAAACTTTGGGGAGTGAACACCAGTTCTAGCTTTGGGGCAGCCTTTCTTGGGTACCTGCAGTATCCTAAGGTGGGTGGGAGAAGCACCCACAGAAGTGGTGGGCCATCCTTCAAAAAGTGGGTGCCTCTCCTTCCCAAGGTGGGTCACTCATTTTGGTAAGGTATGTCATTTTTTTCTTTTATTAATCAGTCTTTGGCAGGGAAATAAGAGGAATAGAAGTTTTTTTGTTTTTTAATGATAAAATGAAAAAGTGGACTGAGAGCTAGAAGGGATTCTGAAGGCGCCCAAGAGGAACTGTCTCTGGGACAACACCCCCCCCCCCTTGCCCCCGAGCCTGGGGCATCGCCTGCTCACCCTTACCAGGCTTACTCTTGTGCTCTGTGCCCTGCTCTGTGCCTTGGTGGTGCTTTCTGAGAGCTCATACAGGCCTCACTGTTAGGAGAGAGTAGGTCTTTGAGAATGTTGTCCTGCAGCCAAAGACCTACAAGTTGTGATTGTTCCAAAGACACAGAGTGCCTAGTAGCCATCGAGCAAAAGTGCTGTCCCTGTGTCAGGCTGGGCCCTGCTCTGTGAGGAGCAGAAATTTTGTTCATCTCAAAGCCATGAGGTAAAATCAAATGTTCACACTGTTTGCTATCCTCCCTGCTCAATGAGGTAAGAGGAGAGGCAGCAGTTTTTAGGGACCACCTGTGTCAAACACTGCCCAGTCCTGTGCTGTGGACCCGCAATCCCTTTTCTGCACTTCCAAAACGCAAATATTCAACACACAGAAGATTTCCCAAAGTTTGTAGCAAAATCATTTGGCCAGAAAATCTGACCTGTGCTGACCTAAAGCCTTAATTTTCCCCACTTAGTGTCTAGCAGTGGTTTTCAGCTGGGGTGGTTTGGCCATGTCTGAGGACATTTGTGATTGTCACCACTTGGGGGGTGCTCCTGGAATCGAGTGAGTGGGGGCCAAGGATCCCCCCACAGAGAATGACCCAACCGCCATGTCGGCAGTGCTGAGGGGGAGAAACCCTGCATTAATTATTTGGGGAAATAGTGAATTTAATCCCTGCTCACAGTAGACACCAATGTAAGTCCCCAATGGTCAGACAGTATAAGCCAGGATGACCCCAGCATCTGTGTGTCACCCCCTGTCTCCTCCCATTCAGGCCGTGCATTTAAATGTGTGCAGCCTCCTAGGACCTCAGTAGTCAGGTGGTTATGGAACACAGTCTCCTGGGATCCATGGACTCCCCTGCCCCGGGATGATCCTGCTCCCACCCCCAGCTCCCAGGGAACATTAGATGGATGCCAGGGGTGCTGTTCAATATTCCATAGTGCACAGGAAAGTTCCTCACGCAGAAAATGTGCCGCACATTGGTGGTGCCTGGGTGGAGAAACCCTGCATTAGGTGCTGAATTCTCAACCACTTGTGAAGACATTTGTTAACCCATTTTATAGAAGAGGAAAGTGAGGGCATCAACTGGGACTCTCAGGTGTGACACAGGGACAGGGAAGGCAGCATGCAGTTGGCCTTGGGTAGAAATGGCCGGACCTAAGACATTATGGCTCCAGGTCTTGTTCTTCAGGAAAAAGGGATGTATTGTCTGGCCCATCATCCATACACGGGCCAGGACAGGCTCCAGGGCCCCTGACTTGTTGACAGGGGGTGTATGGGAGGAAATCACACCAATAGACAGGAGAAGCCCAGGGGCAGGCAGCAAGAGTTGCCTTAAATTACTTCAGTGGTGGCAGGAGGGGTGGGAGCAAAGGCCCTGAGATACAAAGGATCCGAAGCATTGGAAGAACTGAAATGAGTGTGACTTCATTTTTTCCATTTCCTAAACCTTCAATGTCAGCCCCTCCAGCCTCAGCTCCATCCAGGAGTGCAGGAAACAGTTGTGCTAAAGATCAGATTTCTTTTTTCTGCTATTCTTAAGCAAACAGCCCACGTGTCCCTGAAAGGGAAGCAGATCCTCTCACCCCACACACACAACCGGAAACCCAGTGTGAATCTCACATGACTCAGTGTGCTCAGAAGTGGTGCCCAGGACTCTTAGGCAAAGTCCAGCCGCTCGGCGGTGTGTTCTTGCCCTGCCACCGGTTGAACTTGTGACCCGCTCTGTAAGGCCCTGGCACGCCTCCATCCAGTTTGCCGTCATAGTGCTGGAGGAGAGGGTGTCAGCAAACAAAGGCCCAAGTAGTAAATACTGTCAGCTTTGGGGGCCACAAGGGAAAGTCAAGCATACTATTATGTAGGCACTTATATTCATAGAATACAAAAGCCATTCTCAGCTAAGCAGGTAGCTGAATGTGACACTTGACCCGTTTTAGAACAGACTATGCAAAAGGATCCGGGTCCTGGGATCTCAGAGGTTTATATCCTAAGAGGAGGACCTTTGAAACAAAGTTTCTTAATTAGAGTAAAATAGACATAAAATTTGCTATTTTAACTATTTTTTGTTTGTTGTGTTAATCCTCACCCAAGGATATTTTTTCCATTGATTTTTAGAGAGAGTGGAAAGGAGGCAGGGGGCAGATCGAAAAACATCAATGTGAGAGAAACAAATCAATTGGTTGCCTTCAAGCTGCATACACCCCCAACTGGGCTAGGATCAAACCTACAATCCAGGTACGTGCCCTTGACCAGGAATCAAACCCGAGACCCTGTGCGGATTGACACTCTAACCTCTGAGCCACACCAGCCAGGGCTACCTATTTTTTTAATATATATATTTTATTGATTTTTTTACAGAGAGGAAGGGAAAGGGATACAGAGTTTGAAACATCCATGAGAGAGAAACATCGATCAGCTGCCTCCTGCACACCCTCTCTTGGGGATGTGCCCGCAACCAAGGTACATGCCCTTGACCTGAATCGAACCTGGGACCCTTCAGTCCCCAGGCCGATGCTCTATCCCCTGAGCCAAACCGGTTAGGGCCTAACTATTATTTTTAAGTAACAGTTCAGTGGGTGTAAGTACATTCACATTGTTATGCAACCATCACCACCATCCATCTCCAGAACTTTCTCATCTTCCCAAACTGAAATTTTAAGAGAGAGAGAGAGAGAGAAACATCCATTTGTTGTTCCACTTATTTATGCGTGCATTGGTTGATTCTTGTATGTGCCCTGACTGGGCATCGAACCCATAACCTTGATGTATTGGGGCAATGCTCTAACAAACTGAGTTACCCAGCAGGGTCTGCCTCTGAATTTGACTCCCCTAAGGACCTCCTGTGACTGGAATCACAGTATTTGTCCTTCTGTGTCTGGCTTATGTCATTGACCATAATGTCCTCAAGGCTTATCATGTTGTAACATGTGTCAGAATGTCCCTTTAAAGCTGGATAATAGTCTATGGCCGTGGTCGGCAAACTGCGGCTCTCGAGCCACATGCGGCTCTTTGGCCCCTTGAGTGTGGCTCTTCCTAAGCCTTAGGAGTACCCTAATTAAGTTAATAACAATGTACCTACCTATATAGTTTAAGTTTAAAAAATTTGGCTCTCAAAAGAAATTTCAATCGTTGTACTGTTGATATTTGGCTCTGTTGACTAATGAGTTTGCCGACCACTGGTCTATGGTATAGATCAGCGGTTGCCAACTGGTGTTCTGTGAGGTCCGAAAGGTTGGCGACCTCTGGTATAGATGGAGCACATTGTGTGTATCCACATTCATCCATCAATGGGCTTTGGAGTTCTGTCCACCTTTCAGCTGCTGTGAGTCATCCTGCTGCCTGTCGAGAATGTGTGTAGAACAAAAGCATTTTGGGCGTTCTTGGCAGCATGTCTGTCTCCTTGGGTTTAGAGGCCGGCAGGTGGCCATTGTGTTCTCAGGACCCTCCAGCTGGGGAGCACGAGTCACCTTTTGGGACTTCACTGTCTTCGAAGCAAGCAGGGTGTGGTTGCTCTCCGTGGGCCTCTGTGTATCACCCCCAAGATCCTCTAGCCATTTGTCCTCCAGGCTCTGGCCCATCCTGACCCCAGACCTGGGTCCAGGGATGCTCTTGGGCCAAAGGTACTGCTTGGTAAAGGCTCATTGTGTCCAAAAATAGAGGGGGAAACTCATAACCACCCCCCAAGAGCTTTCCAGGGTGTCTGTAACTTTCTGTCCAACTACAAGCTCTCCAACATAGCTATTTTAAGTTTGTCCCCTTTTTAGACATTGAGATATAATTCACATACCATAAAAAGTAGTAGGTTTTCGTATATTCACAGAGTTGTGCGGCCATCACATGAGTTCCAGAGCATTCCATTACCCCTGAAAGCAGCCGAGTCCCTATTAGCAGTTACTCCCCAGCCCCTGACAACCACAAACTCCCTTCCTCTGGATTTGCCTGTTCTGGGCATTTCATAAAAATGGAGTCACAGTGTGGCCTTTTGTGTCTGGATCCTTTCCTTCTAAGAAGCAGTTGATGATGCCCTAGCCGGTTTGGCTCAGTGGATGGAGCGTCAGCCTGCAGACTCAAGGGTCCCAGGTTCGATTCCGGTCAAGGGCATGTACCTTGGTTGCGGGCACATCCCCGGTGGGGAGTGTGCAGGAAGCAGCTGATCGATTTCTCATCGATGTTTCTAGCTCTTTATCCCTCTCCCTTCCTCTCTGTGAAAAATCAATAAAATATATTAAAAAAAAAAAGAAGAAGAAGCAGTTGATGGATGAGGTTTTCCATGTACCACAGACAGAGAGCTTGTAGCATGGCCAGCATCACATGCCTTGACTGCCCTTGCACTGCAACTTTTAGGTGCCAGATGCTGGCATCAGCTCTGTGTGCTGCCGGGGGTTAATGACTTCCTCTTCTGATCTCTGGCCAGTGACGGGTTAATGAAGATGGGATCAGGAGGCCCACTCCTTGATTTCTAGGGGGCACAGGCTATTCACCCCACTGGAGGTATTTCAAGGGGACCAAGATGCTTTACACCGTGGCCTCCAGCCGTGCTGAGCGGATATGAGGGGCCTTGGGCAGCATGTAGGTCCCCACCCCGCTCTTGTGTCCTCTCTAAATGGGAGCAGTGATGCACCTCGGAGGTCATTATATGGTGGAAGTGAGATGTGCTGTGTAAAGTGCCAGGCGCATCACAGTAGCTCTGGTAGCAGACTCCTCACACGTTTCTTATTCTCACCCAGGCACTAGACTAGGGATATCGGGGACTGGTCCCTCTCTGTGGGGGGCCACCCTGGGCTCTGTGGAGGTTGAGCAGCATCCCCGGACTCACCCACTCAATGCCAGGAGCACCCCCAGTCATGAGAACCACAGATGTCTCTAGACCAGCCGTGGGCAAACTACGGCCCGCGGGCCGGATCCGGCCCATTTGAAATGAATAAAACTAAAAAAAAAGACCGTACCCTTTTATGTAATGATGTTTACTTTGAATTTATATTAGTTCACACAAACACTCCATCCATGCTTTTGTTCCGGCCCTCCGGTCCAGTTTAAGAACCCATTGTGGCCCTCGAGTCAAAAAGTTTGCCCACCCCTGCTCTAGACAAAGCCCAGGCAGTACAGCACGGTGCAGAGGAACCCGGGAGGCCCTTAGGTGGCCTGGAAAGGGATCCGTGCCCTGTAGGGCCTTTCCGTCTGCTCAGGCTATCCCATGGTGCCTGTGTCACCCTTTGTGGGCCTTGGAAACTTGGGGTTCACAGACCTCCAGGACTCCAGCCCATGCGAGGCAGCCCTGGGGAGCCCCAGGCTGTCCCCATCCAGCCAGTGAAAGGGCGAAGACCGCCAGGCCCAGGGCTATGTTACCCTCCTGTGAGATCAAGGAGGGACTGCACAGGGTGCTCCGCCCACCCACATGCCCAAGAGCAGGGGCTCTGAGCCTCATTGCTTCAGTGTCTCATCTGTGAAATGGGATTGTTAATGTTTTGCCTCACAGATAAAAGTGTCTAATGTGCCTGGGTGGGGGACACACCTTCTGCAGAGTCCTGCCTGGAGTATGACCTGGGAGTAGGTGGAAGAGTGCGTATCTAAGCAGCCCAGTCCTCATGCTTTTGCCTGGGGTCTGCAGATCCTGAAAACCCCTGGGTGTCATCTCTTCCCATCTCAAGATGGATAACAAGAAACGCCTCGCCTATGCCATCATCCGCTTCCTACATGACCAGCTGCGGCACGGGGGGCTCTTGTCAGACGCCCAGGAGAGTTTGGAAGGTATGCATGGGCCTCCATCGGCCCCGGAAATGGAGTCTCCTGTCTCCAACTTTGTGCCCCCACTGCCTTCTCTCACTCCTGCTCCTCTTCCTCCCCACCTCCCTTTCTTTCATCGGAGCCTAGAACGATTACAGGATGGGTATGATAGGTCAGCACACGTGTCCAGCCGTGGACGCTGCTCCTGTCCTGGTTTCACAGCCAAGACCGCCAAGCCCTGAGCAGGCACAGGACTGAGCTCTCTGGCCTCCTAGCCCAGTGCTCTTCCCCCACTGCAAGGGTGCCAACCCCTGTCAGTTTAGGGCAGGCCTCTGTAGGAGGAAAAGGAGGCATGTGTGTCCTGGGGCAGAGGGCAGGTGGGGCAGCCCTGCACCGGTGGCCCAGGGCTCTGAGTAGTTCCTGTCCGTCCCACGTGCAATTATGTTGCCCCTGGAAGGAGCCCAGCCTTGAAGACTTGGGCGGGGGATGGTGTGGTCTTAAGCTTTGGGTTCTGGCCGGACTCCTTGGAGGTTCAGCAGAATGTCCCGGGCATCTGGATCCCCGAATGGCACTCCAGGCTGGGCTCAGCTCCGCAGCTTCCCAGCAAGGTAGCCCAGCAGTGTGACCCCACGGAGAGCACCACTGGGCAAGGACCGTAACTTCCCCCACACTTCCTTGCTCTCAGGGCTCAAGGGCACGTCTCACTGTCCAGAGTTTCCCAAGGCTCTGGGCTGACTGGAAGAATCCAAACCAGGGTCGAGGAGCACACTACACACTGTGCTCCAGGGTCTCTGCCAATCCACCTGAGGAAAACTAAGTGTGAGCCCTGCCTCCGGAGCCTCATAAACTCAGGTCCGTGCAGAAGGAAATATCTGTGTGTTCCTTGCAGTTGCAATCCAGTGCCTGGAGACCGCCTTCGGGGTGACATTGGAAGACAGCAACCTCGCACTCACTCAGACTCTTCCAGAAATATTTGAAGCTGCCGCAGGCAAGGTGAGCTGCTGGGCCGCCCCCATCACAGCGAGAACAGTGAGAACAGCATGGGTAGCCAATGGCTCCGAAGCACGTCCCTCCTGGTGAGGGAAGCGGGGCACCTGCATTGTGGGCACTGGGCCTGGTTCCTCTCTCTCAGAGCTCAGGGGCCCCTGACAGGGAGGAAGGCTCAAGGAGCCGAGTTTGGAGGAGGAGGAGGACAGCGGGATTGCCAGCTTTTTTCTTTGGGGCCAGGAGATGCCACAGAACCTGAGGAGTCCTGAGGTAACCCCGCCTTCGGAGGAGGACTCGGCCGAGGCAGAGCGCCTCAAAACCGAAGGTGAGAGAAGGTTCTCTGTCCCCACTGGCACCTCTCCACCTGGATCCAGAGGCAGGCTGATCCCTGGCTCTGAAGTCGAGGTGGGGGTGCTGTTGGACAGTAGATGGCAAACCAGCCTTTGGAGACAGGAGTCCAGGTGGGGATGGCTTTTAAGAACACAGATATATGTGGAGAAATCCTAGCCTCACACACAATGGGTGGAAATGTAAGCAGTGCAGCTGCTGTGGAAAATGGTCTGACAGCTTCCCAAATAGTTAAACACAGTGATCACATGACCCAGCAAACACACACGCCCACAAAGATGCTTGTACACAGATGCTCACAGGAGCACAGTTCGTAGTAGCTAAGAAGTGTAAACCACCCAGATGTCTGTCTGCTGGTGAATGGATACATACAAGGTGGCCTATCCATGCAGTGGATTATTCCTCAGCCAGGAAAAGCAGTGAGGCACTGACCATGCTACAGCGTAAATGGACCTTGAACACATGACGCTCAGTGAAAGACGCCAGACACCAAAGGCCACACAGCGTGATTTTGTTGATGTGAAATGTCCAGAACAAGAAAATCCACAGACCTAGGAAGTGGGTTCATGGTTATCGGGCTGGGAGGGGAGGATTGACTACTGATGAGGACAGGGTTACTTCTCGGGGTGGTGGAATGTTCTGAAAATTAGATGGAGGTTATGGTTGCACAACTCTGAATATACTAAAAAGCCACTTAATTGTACACTTTTAAAGGGTGAGTTGTGTGGTATGTGGATTACGTCTCATTAAAATTGGGCTCTATTTCTGAAAAGATGCAAAAGTGACAGTATTTGAGACTTACGTCCCCAAATACCACAATCAAAGCAGTGACAGCTACCATCAACCAAGCGCTGGCTCAGCCAGCCCCTGAAGACACTCGATGCAAACTGCACCCCAAGCCTATGCCTGAGTGTTGCATCCTGGTCCCCGAAATCTCAGACCTTCAATTAGGAGCTGGGAGAGCTGGGAATGACCCCTCAGACCCCCTCAGGTCTCGTGTGAACAGCCAGTGTACATTTTTTTCTTTTTCTGTAGGAAACGAACAAATGAAAGTCGAGAACTTTGAGGCTGCCGTGCACTTCTATGGGAAAGCTATCGAGCTCAATCCCGCAAACGCCGTCTATTTCTGTAACAGGTACCTGCTAGGCCTGCTCGGAGGCCAAGCCAGCCAGTCTCACATCCTGGCAAACAGGATGGGCTGTTGTACTATGGGTTACTTGATCGCCCCACTGCAGTCCCAAATACACAGTGTCAGGCTGTCAGCGAGCTGTCAGTCAGAGTCGATAGTGACATTTAAATTAGGTGGCACCATTCTCTACTCCGATGTGGGGCCAAGAATATAACCCACAATTTGGATACGTGACATGCTCACAACAGCATTGGCAATAGTGAGGAACTGCATCTGGCCTGTCATTTTTCTTTTTCCTTGTTTTTAAAAAATTAAGTTTATAGGAGTAACAGTGGTTAATAGCATTGTATAAATTTCAGATATACAGCTTTATAATATGACATCTGTATACTCCATTGTGTGCTCACCACCCAAAGTCTAATCATCTTTCCGTCATAATGTATTTGACCCTGGCCTGTGCTTTTTTATTTATTCATTTTTATTGATTTCAGGGAGGAAGGGAGAGAGAAACATCAATGATGAGAGAAAAATCCCTGATTAGCTGCCTCAGGCACACCCCACACAGGATGGAGCTTGCATCCCAGGCGTGTGCCCTGACCAGGAATTGAACCGTGACCTCCTGGTTCACAGGTTGATGCTCAACCACTGAGCCATGCCGGCTGGCTTGGCCTATGCTTTTAAAGGAAAAGCCAAATGAGCTGTCACACAGCCTCACTGTACGGAATATTGTGTTAATGAGAAGGACTGAGTGGAGAGCAGGAGGCAGAACCGCGCAGTCAGTGTGGAAGCCGTGGGAGCACACAGTGTACAGAAGACACCAGAAGCATGTGTGCCAAAGGTGGTCCACATCACCTCTGGGTGGAAGTGTTTTTGTTTCTTTTCTTTTAAACTATTTTTTGGGGAAGTAATTCTAGATATACAGAAAAGTTGCAGAGGGACTTATCTGGCAACATAGAATGGGCCTGAGCTTCACCCGAAAGGAAGAGCCTCCATGGCGAGCCCTGGGACTGTGGGTTCAGAACCAGGTCCTGGCGCTGCCTGTCTGCTGTGCAGCATTGGGCCACACCCTCTCCCTCCCTCAGCTTCAGTTTCCTCTGGCAAATGGGATAGCACCCTTCCCCCAGCCCCCCAGCACGGGTGCCTAGCAGACAGATGCCTGTGTCAAAGCCCACATACCCCTTCACAACCCCGTACCCACCCTACCTTACAGATGGGGAAACCGAGGCCCATCCACAGATGGCTTGTCGTAGGTGACCAGTGAGGGTAACAACTCTGAACACCCTGCTTTGTTTCCCTAGAGCCGCCGCCTACAGCAAACTGGGGAATTACGCGGGGGCCGTGCAGGACTGCGAGCGGGCCATCTGCATAGACCCATCCTACAGCAAAGCATATGGGAGGATGGGGTGAGTGCCTGGGCAGGTGCCCCTTGTGGGGCCGGACTGCCCTCCCCCCTGCATCCACCACATTCCTCCTCTTCTGATTGTGTGGGGGGTTTTCTGTTCCATTAACCAACCCTCCAAGGCCAGCGGTGGGTTCAGCCATTCAATTTAGTCCTGACACCACCTACCTGGAGGTAGTCAGACCCCACTGGTGCAGGGCTCAGCCCCACTTCAGACACCAGTCACGAGTTGTCACTGTGTTTCTGACCAACCAGCTATAATAAGGGCTTCCCCCGACCCCCTCCTCAGGATTGACAATTCCCTAGAATGACTCACAGAATTCAGGAAAACACTTTACCTACATTTACCAGTTTGTTAGAAAGGATACAGATGGAACAGCCAGATAGAGGCACACAGGGTAAAATCCAGCATGGTCCTGGATTTTGGGTGCCAGAGCCTCTGTCCCTGTGGAGTTGGGGGTACGCCACCCTCCTGGCACATGGATGTGGTCACCCTCTTTAGGTGTGATTAGAAGGGGCTTGTGAATAACAAAGGACGCACCTATGACTCAGGAAATTTCAGGAGCTCTGCCAGGAGCAGCAGGGACAAGGACCAAATAAACATCTTTGTCTGACCACCCTGGCCCCATCCTTTGGGCCTTCAAAGCCCTTGGTGTTGGGTACCACCACTAGGACACGAGTGCATTTGAATTGTCCTATGTTCATCCTCTTAGCCCCTCCCCTGACCCCCTCTTGTGTCCTCCACTGGAGCCCAGACTGGACCAGGAATGATGGCATTGACATGGAGACAGTCTGAGGTGTGGGGACTGAGGGAGGGGCCAGAGCTCTCGGGGCCTCTCCCCTTCATCCCCAGCATCTCCCCCCAGCCTGGCGCTCTCCAGTTTGAACAAGCACGCGGAGGCCGTGGCCTACTATAAGAAGGCCCTGGAGCTGGACCCCGACAACGAAACATACAAGTCCAACCTCAAGATCGCGGAGCTGAAGCTGAGAGAGGCACCCAGTCCCGTGAGTCCCCCGGGAGCAAGGGCGTGATGCTGTCGGAGGCAGAGCACAGGGCAGGCCAGGCAGACGCGCTCACAGCTCACAGGCTGAGGGCTGGGCTGCTAGGGGACCTGGCATTTGTTTAATCAGGTCTGAGATACACATTCGGAAATGCCTGTCAGGGAGGAAGACGTTTTCATTCTCACAGAGCCCCAGAAACAGGAGAGGGCATGCTGCAGGGTCACACGGGGAAGCACCAGGCTCAGTCATGAGGTGAAGGAAGAGGGGACATGTGGACCAGAGCCTTGATTATGATTTCATGAGAAGGAAGGGGTGAGGTGGGGGGGAGCAGGCTTAGGTTTTACTAGTTTGAATAATTCCAGGGGACTCTGGTAGGGGCTAGCCCTAACTGGCACCTGGCTCTGGGGTGACTAGGGCGAAAGGCTAGTGGCTGAGTGTGAGAGCCCCGCAGAGAAGGGGTGGGAGTGGACAGTGGGTTGCCTGACTTGCCTCTGAAAGGTGCACTCGTAGGTGATTTATTGACCGTCTCTAGGCATTGGTTACCCTGAGGAGGGCCCATCCCTCCAGGGTCTGCCAGGCCCCAGATGTCAGAGCATCAGAAAATGAAAGATGCGTTAACACAGTACTTTTCCCTGGTGATGGACGGTGGGGCTCCTGCTTTTTATGAAGCACCCCTAGCCCTATGGGCTGGCTGCTCAGGCCGAGAGAGCATCTGTTTGAGCGAAACACCTCTTAGAACTCCAGAGGGGCCCCACAGGGGGTACTAGCTCTCAGATCCTGGGCCAGTGTCATCTCCCTGTGTCCTGATGCCACTAACCGTGCTTTCCTTACCCACAGACAGGAGGGCTCGGCAGCATCGACATCGCGGGCCTGCTGAACAACCCAGGCTTCATGAGCATGGTGACTGCCCTCCTCGCCCCAGCAGCGTCCTCACCCCCCACCCGAGCCTGCATGTCACTGCCTGCCATAGACCAGGGCCACTCGTGTGGCACTGTGGACTAGAGCTGGGGTCACTCTGGGTGGGGGCATGCCTGGGCACTATGGGGTGTTGAGCAGCATCCCTGGCCCCACCTACTCCATGCCAGGAGCACCCCCAGTGATGACAACCACAGATGTTTCAATTGTTGTCTTGTGTCCCCTGGGGCCAGCATACCCCCAAGGGAGACCCCCCCCCATTATTGAGCCAAAGGACAAATTAGATCCTGCCTCTCCTGGCTGAATAATGTGGGGAAACTACCTCCCCGCTGCCCAGCATGGTGTTCTCACAAGGAGACAGTGATAGGGCCACGCCTGCAGGTTCGGATGGGACAGCAGAGCACTAGGTATCCCATTGAGAGCGGGCTCCCCGCTGTGACCTGAGGGGGCTGGTCCCTACACACACATGCCCATTGCTGAGTGATCTTGCTCGGCCTGAGGCCGCACTGCTGGCCTACAGGCCTTAGGGTGCAGGGTCTCAAACTATCTGGAAGAGAAAAATCCTCAGTACATCAAGGAGCATCTCGCCTCCTAAATGCAGCAGAGGTTGTACTTCCGTTGTGAGTCTGTGCTGCAGCAAAGCCAGGGTCTTCGTTGATGTTCTGGCTCAAGGACTCAGCCTAATAGCAGCCACTCCTTTTGACTTCAGCCACCCAGCTCCTGCTGGTTTGTGTACTATTACTGGCACGGCCATCACCCTGCATTTACGTGGCTTTTGGCAGAGCTGAACGGTTGGAGCAGAGACACCCTGAAAGCTGACAGTACTTAACCTATGGCCCTTTACAGAAAGTTAGGCAGCCCGTGAGCAGTGGTCTGGCAGAACCCTGACCTGGGTTCTGAGGAAATGTCCTCAGTGGAGCTGTGGAGGCACGAAAGTGCCCGGTGCAGTGTTGCTGACTGATAGAGCTCTCCTAATGTCTCGTGACCCAAAAAAGATAGAAAATACACACACCCAGCGACACCTAAGGTGCCAGCAAAGAAAGGATAGGTGCCCTGGAGTCTCCTGAAATAAGGGCCCCAAACGGGATCAAAGTGGTGAAACATGAGTCTCATCGCATGGAGGGAGAAATGGGGTGTAGGGGAGAGGCGGGGAGAGCAAGTACCTGGGGTGACATACTGGCTGTGCTGGGGCAGGAGAGCCCGGGGTGCTCGAGAGGGAACCTTCTCGGTCGGAGCATGTTGGACGCTGTCCTCTGACCATCGTTTTATTTCCTCAGGCATCAAACCTGATGAACAGCCCCCAGCTTCAGCAGCTGTAAGTGACAACCCTTTTCCCCTGGTCTTGTGCTTAAATCCCTTTTTGTGGTAAAACACATCAGGTTATTATTTTAACCATTTAGTTTACAACTCAGTGGCATTACGTGCATTTCAGTGTCGTGCAGCTATCCCCACCACGGAGTTCCAGAATATTCCACCACCCCAAAAGAAGCCCCATCGTTATAGTCACTCTCCCTTCCCCTAATCCCTGGCAATAACTAACCCACTTCCTGTCTGTGAATTTAATTTTCCTGTTCTGGAAATTTCACTGCGACCTTTGGTGTCACAGACATTTCTCAGTGTCAGCTGGGGGCCAGAATTGTCCCATTGAGCATCAGTGCCGTTAGGGCAAAAAGCCATTCCTGGAAAAGCTGATGACCTCACAGGGCTGTCATCACGGAGAAGGGTGGTGACACAGAACGTCTCCTGCTAGCAGAGGCCAAGGGCTGAGTGGAGCCACTGGGGGACGGGTGGGCTGGGCCATCCTGTACAAGTCACAGGCTCTCTTCTTGCAGCATGTCCGGGGTGATTTCCGGCAGCCACAACCCCCTGGGGACTCCTGGCACCAACCCTTCACAGAATGACCTGGCCAGTCTCATCCAGGCGTGAGTAGCCCTGCATAGTGGAGGCACGGTGGGCAGGCAGGGACGCTCCACGTGGGAAAATGGAAGTGTCAGTGCTGTGTCCTCCAGCGAGCGGGCACACTGCTGTTGAGGGTCACATGTGGGGGACGCGTGACGAGTGCCTGGGGGACACTTCCATGTGGATGTTTGGGGAAGCGGCTGGTGTCCCGGCGAGCTGAGCCTGGCGCCTCTCTCACAGGGGCCAGCAGTTCGCTCAGCAGATGCAGCAGCAGAACCCAGAGTTAATTGAACAGCTTCGAAATCAGATCCGAAGTCAAACACCCAGTGCCAGCAACGATGACCAGCAGGAATGACCGCTCACGTGAGTCCCCTCGGGGAGGAGGTGCACCCCCTGCCAGATGTTTCCACTGAATTTTGCTCCTCCCCCTCCCAACTCCCACTGAGAGACATGGACTGAAACTTCACAGC